TTTCATGTAATGCTTGACATTCCCAAAAGGACAGGGAGAGAAGCTATTGAACTTTGGTGATCTCTTCCAAGTGGGTAACAGAAAAACAAAAGGATCTTTTAAATGGAATCTCTAAAAGGAAAAACCACCTTGAAACAAAACACAGTTAGCAATCACCATCCTCATTTCCTATGCCTACTACAGAGCAGAAAAAAAAGATGGGAACAGCCCCTGTTGCTCAGACTGTTCCCTTCATGGAGCTTCTCTTCATTTAAACCTAAAGCAAGGCAATTTGACCTCAGTTTACAATCAGTGAAAAAGGATTTAAAACTAAAAATTCACTCCTATGGAACTGCAGTAAATTTCCATCTTTTTCAGGTGTTTTAAAAAGCCAACCTTTCAAAACATCATTTACATTCTCAGTAGATGGAAATGTAGTAACCTCAAACTCCCTAGGAAAAATCTTGGATCCATCAAACATACCACAGTAATTTGAAATGGAACAGTAACAAGGGATAGCCAAAACCCATTATAAACCTGACAATGAAGCATGAGTTCAGCCAATCTGCAACCACTGCTGTAAGGCTAAAACAATGGGCTAAGCTGCTGCAGACCTTTGTTTGCTAACAGAGATGGGAATAAAGAAGCTCTTCCTTCTACCTGCATAAATGAAAAAAAAACAAGCATAAAACATGTTAGATGTTTCTTGAAGCCTTTCAGCTATCACATTTTTAAGTTATGACATAAACCTGGAAACTGCTCTTGCAAGAACTAATAGTTTCAGCATTAACCTCTGTTCACATGGCTTAATTGGTTAAGTTAGGGCCTTCCCTAGTGTCAGCCCCCAAATAAGAGAGCTTTTTCAAAGCTGCTCTTTAAGGCCAAGTTTGAAAATGCGCAGATAAAGACTGCAACTTTACTACACTGAACACCAAATCCTCCCCATTAGGTCATTCTTGAAGACATAAACATAAATCCAAGAACATTTACTGAGTCACTAATAATAATAACTCAATAAATTCAGCCTCTAGCACAGCACTACGTTGCACTAGCAACCTTCATAATAAAGGCAGGAAGATATTACGGAAGAGAGGAAGAAAAGGCTGGAAAAGCCAGTGAGCTAAGCTGGAGAGAAAGCCAAGTCTCAGCTGTCAGCACATTACTCACCAATAAGAAATGTGGTGAGCAGAAGCAGAAAGTTTCCAAACTCAAACTCTGTCATATTAGACTATCGTTAAGAGTCAAGTCAGCAAAGAACAGAAAGTTTCAGCAAAAGAAAAAATCCAACGAAACAGCACCAGGGATCACACAATGATTTTTGTGCTAAATGAACAATGAATTTGCCCATAAGTTAGCTTGGAGCTTTCATTAGCTGTTACATTTTTGCACTGCAAATATATTATTCCCCTTCCCCCTTATCAGAACATTGATTTAGATGTATCAAACATAGTAGAAGTAAGCAGTGCTGTATTTGACATCTGCTGCAAGCAACAAAACTGGTTTGTTTTCTTATATACATGTGCTATTCATCAACACTTTGACAGAATCTGTGTATTTTTATCAAATAAATCTGCAACTAACAGTTGCTTATACTCATTCTGTATGTAGCAGTCTGGAAGGGTATTTTGTACCTTGACGTAACAATAACTAAGAAAACCTTTCAAGAAATGCCCAACACACATCAGTGATGACACACATGAGGACATGGCAGCACTGGGTGACCAAGTACAGCTCTACAATGCAGGATTATCTTTCCAGGCTGGCTCTGGAAACACACCTTGTTTTTACCCATCAAAAGTTCTGGTAACTTCCTCCTTAACAGAGTAGAATAATCAGCCCCTCTTCTCCTCTCAGCATCTGGGATATTTTCTGAAGAGATCTGCAAAACTAGAGGAACTAAAGGCACTTCACAAACACTCATGTTAGAATCTGAACAGAATCCATATAAAGAAGAACCTCAACTACTGATAGTCTGTTCTATTCACTTAGTAACACCTGTTACCGTTTCCCCAACAGTTGCAATTACCAAAATCCCAATACTTTAAATCCTCTCTGCATTTTTCTTTCATAACTCACAGCAAGTAAAGTGCCATCTGTCATTGAACATCCTTCAATACTAAGTTGCACCTTTTTTTGCCATGGTGACACTATCACTTGCAATATCCAAAGGATTGCTCCCTCTTTTTGAATTCTGTCTAGCGAGATGGAATTCCATTAAATAAATTTATGCCAACTTTCCTGTAGTCCTTGAAATAAAACTGAATGCACCATTTCCAGTCTTCAAAGATACTCAGAGGATATCCATGAAATGTCAAAAGAACTGTGAAGTATTCTTTCTAATAGTAAACCTGCAATTATCTTTCAAGCGCCCTATAATAATGTCAGGCTTGCAATCAGCCTCTTTATACTGTGCAGCACAGGGATCACATTCTTCAGATAAGGTGTTACTTATCTGAATCTAACAGTCACAGCTTCCTGCAGCACCTCCACAGCACCGAAGTCTCACCCAGACATTTACTGTGCCCAGGAATTTATGGCAACATTCTCATCAAAGAGCCAGAAAAGGATCTGTCAACTACAGTAACTTTAGCTACAATTGCCTATAGAAGGGGGTCAGGAATCAACAGAAACTGTTTTGAGTACTAGTGCACAAATCACAAGAGAGATGGAACAGGAGCAACACCTGCCAGGTCAACACCAGGTCACTCACGTTCACCTCATGTACAAACACTGCTGTTTTTCACCACAGTTGAAAACATACACAGGAGGTTCCTTCTTGGCAACAACTAAGATGAAGGGAGCATCTGAACTATAAAAACTTAGCAAAAGTTTTTCTAAAAGGACTTAACTTTCTCCATGTGAAGCAGCTCTTTTCCTAGGCAATTACGTATCTCAGCAATGGACTAAAACAAACACACCACTGGAGACTCCAAACAGAAAAGTGCCAGTTCATGCACAACACAATCATTACTGGTAGTTTTTTCCTTGTTATTCTGGTTTCTTGTTATGAAGTGACTTGGGTCATTGAACATGGTCCCAATAAAATCTGCTAAAAAGAAAACATAGTCTATTCCATAATCTCTACAAGTCTGACTTGCATACCACTAAGATATTGCAATGTTCAAGAGGGATTTCTTCTGGTGCAATACAGCCAAGGCTAGAGAAATCATTACAGAAAACAATCTTTGAATACACATGAAAATAAGAGACGGTACAAATCTTTGCTTAAAGTCAAGTTTGTTTTGAGAGTTCCACTGATGCCATGGCAGCCAGTAACAGTACTATCTACCACTTCAGAAATCCACATTTCAGAAGAAGAATCTTTATTTTCTAAATGTGGTTTGCTTTCTCTGTAGCTTTGTAACTATAAAGATTTTGCCCAATACTTAACCCAATGCTCTGTTTAAAATCCTTGTAGTTTGAAGCTGACATCTTAAGCTTCTCTGAAAATAAAGGAGGGTTTTTCAATGTGCTCCCACAACCTTAAATCCAAAGGACTCCCCATCCTGCATTCTCTATGCTGTTGTCAAATCAAACCTGTACAAATACGGCTCAGCAGGGAGTTACTGCAGTAAGCTTTTAATGACACCTCAAATGTTCACTTGATGTGTGCCCAATTTTGCTTCCGACTCTGTCCCTGGTCACCAGCTGTGTGACAAGAGGCAGCACTTGATTGTTGTAAAGGGCAGCACCAAGGCACTGCACAATACTGCAGAAAAGAAAAAGCGATTCAAACACCCTCCCAAGCAGCCCACTCTAAGTATCCCATGCCATCCTAACCACGTCTTCTATAGAATGGGGTATTGCTGAGAAAGAAGCACAAGCACTCTGCTGTAAAGACCTCGTGCTGGTGCAGAAAGCTAAGGCTGGAAAAGACCTCTGGAGATCATCACGTCCAACCTATGAGCCAACATCACCATGTCAACTTGACCACGGCACCGAGTACCACATCTAGTCCTTCCTTAAACACCTCCAGAGACAATGGCTCCACCACCTCCCTGGGCAGTCCATTCCAATGCCACCTTTTCTGTGAAGAAATTCCTCTTAATGCCCAACCTAAACTTCCCCTATGCGGGAGTGTCATACACGGAAAGCAGCCAGGAGTAAGACCTGGGAGGCGGAGAGGTGGGGAGAGGAAGGAGCATCATCTGCGTGTGCGGCCGGACATAACCGGGACGGGGATCGTAAGACAGCTGCGCACGCAGAGATGGGGACACAGAGACGCAGGATGGATGGGAAAGGAGCCGCGTCAGGGTGCGGGCTGCCCTCTCACCTCGCAGTCTCCGCGCCAGGCGCTTGGCCCAGGCGGCCCGGCGGGGCGCGGCTCCGTCGGGCGGCCCCGGGAGGCGGCCCGGCCCCTCGGCCCCGCCGCGCCCCGCGGGGCCGCGCCGCGCCCGCCGCCCGCCGCCCGCCGCCGGCCCCGCGCCGCTGCCCAGCGACGACGCGGCTCGGCTGCCCCACTCCACGTCCATCTCCAGCACCGGCCCCGCCGCCGCCGCCGCGTCCTCCTCGGGCTCGAAGCCCGGGTTGTCCCGGCTCCAGGCCTGCCGCGAGCAGGCGGAGAGCGGCGGCGACGGCGGGCGGGAGCCGGGCCGCGCCGCCTGCCCCAGCCGCTCCAGCTCCAGCTGCTCCCGGCCGCGCCGGCAGCCGCCGCCGCCCGCCATCGGCCCCGCCGCCGCCGCCCCTTCCCCGCCCCCGGCGGAAAGCCCGGGGTACGGAGGGAGATGTAGTCGCCTGGCTCCCGGCGGCAGCGCCGGCCGGGACCTCCTTCCCGCCCTCCTCCTCCTCCTCCCACGCCTCCCTCCCGTCTGCCGGGCAGTCCCGGACCGCCTCTGCGGGAGCGGTGCCGGGGCCGGCGCTGGGTGTTGGGAGTCCCGCTCATCCTCGGCGAAAGTGCGAGGAGGCCTCGCGAAGAGGTTGTGCTGGTTAAATTTGTGAGGAACAGCCATTTCACATCATTTTAAGAAGAAATGTTAAAGCTCCCCCCGCCCGGTCCAAGCCCCAGTGAACTGTAACGCAGGTACAGGGCTTTGAGGTTTTATTCACGTCCCGTTACACAAAACAGCGCCCGGCAGCGCGGACAGCAGTGTGCCCGAGGGGCCACGCTCGCCCGCCGTGCCCCACAGCCCCGCTAGCACAGCCCTAGGGGACCGCCTCGAACCCCAAAAGTCACCACGCAAGTACATTAACAAACAGCTCCCCAGAATTAAGCCGCTCCCCGCTTCTCTTAGGTAGGGATTGGAAAAGAAGGGAAATATTATTTTTATCTCCCTTTAAAGGGTGACTTCGTTACTTTCGATGCTGTGACGATCTTGAGAATCCTCGGCACTTTCCAGCGTTTGGCTGCTGATATCGTCAGCGAGCTCAGCTGACACGCGGTCCGGGCTCTCCCTGCTTTCCACACTCGGGTGGCTGTCCCCCCTCTCCCTGCTTTCCACACTCGGGTGGCTGTCCCCCCTCTCCCTGCTTTCCACACTCGGGTGGCTGTCCCCCCTCTCCCTGCTTTCCACACTCGGGTGGCTGTCCCCCCTCTCCCTGCTTTCCACACTCGGGTGGCTGTCCCTTCTGACACCAGGCTTGCTGCTGTCGCTCTGTGCCTCGCGGCTGTCGGATTTGGGCCAGCTGTCGTTGTCCAAGCTCCGGTGATGCGGCTCGCTGTCCTGCTCGCTGCCGTCCCGCCCGTGGCTCCGGTCAGACCATACCACGCTGCTGGCGGGCTTCGTCAGGGACCTACGGAAAGCAGGATTCTCCCGGGAGAGAGGGCGCTGGCTGTCTGCATCCATGTCGCTCTCGTCTTCTTCAGTGGCATCGTAGAGGAGCTGTATAAGAGAGCAGAATAAGAGCCATTGTCACTCCTGAGGAGCTACTGTGTGAAGTACTGCACTAAAGCAGGCTGCTCGGACTGCAGGGACGCTCAAAGCCTGTGTGATGAACCTCTACCTGGAGATATTCTGGTGTTTTATGGAGTTACATGAACCTTTCACATTATGAGAAACTCTCATTTGCTCCTGGCCTCAGATTTAATGTGTGAAAGTATATCGTGACAGTGCAAACTGCAGTTTTGCACAGCTTGCATAGCAGGCTGCACTGCTGCCCCGATGCATTGGCAGCCATCGAGACCCCTGATCTGTGGTATCCAGAGAAAGGAAATGCATTCCTTCACTTATGCCTACTTTCCCCATAACAGTTTTCGAAACCAACTCCCATAAAATGCCATGTCCATTTTCAAGTTCACTCCCCATTTCCAAGAACGTGTGCACCACTGGTCAGTGTTATTCACCTTTTTGGCATCTTTGTGGAATTTTATATACTTCAACAGTGCAGCTTTTGCCCTCATCCTGTAGGCCACACTGTCACCTCTGCCAGCATTGTCTCCCCGGGTGAAAGGGAAAGTGGGGAATGGTTCAGTCACTGGAATGTCTGTGGGAAAACTCGTGACAACCTCTTCAGATTCATCTGTGTCATTGGAATCATCGTCATCATCATCATCATCATCATCCACATCTTCGTGGCTCTTGCTTGACACATCAGGAAAGTGCTGGAAAACATTCATTACACATCAGGCAAATTAACACAGATGGGAGAGGTACAGACTGATACCTGTCCCATTGACCCAGGGCATAGGCACTGTTGAAGAGCTACACTGCACTGAGTTCACCTCCCCCTGTCTGGAGCTTTGTTTTATTTTGGAAGAGTTGTTACTGCAAGAACCACACTTTAGTGAGGAAAATGAGAGCTGTTCCACACTGGCTGCCTTACAGCACTCAACTGACATGCTGTCCTTCAAAATACGTACCAGCTGTTCTGGGACATCCATGCTTTCTTCTGAAGAGTAAAGGGTCTGAAATCAACACAAAGCTCAATGTTAGTACACAAAGGCACATACAGTGGAGCTGATTAGCATATTGACTATTCTTTAAGCACTTAATCATAACTTGCAAATCTTGGCATGGAAAGATGCTCTGCTTCCTCTTCCAGTTAGGTGCCTGTACCTGCTGAGATGATGCCAGGTCACTCTGTGGGTGCTGCTGACTCTCCTGAGACTGAGAATTCACGTGGTCATTGTGATATCTGTGCAAGTGTTGGCCCCTGGAGTCCTTCAAGAGAAAATAAAAGGGAGGGGTTAATCCTCAAAGGAGCAGGCAAAACTGCTGCATCCCAACCTGTGTTTTCAGGCAGATGTGGCATCTGCATACATAGTCCTCCTGTATGGGATGTGTGCTCAGCTGTCCTTTGCAGCAGGAAGAGGACTCAGTAGAAGCCATCATCCCAGATGAACATTGTACCCAAAAGATAGATAGATGTGTCTCTCTCACTGGCAGAGCCTGAGCAAGCTGGATCAGTTTCTCCAGCTTGTTTTTACTGAGTGGAATGTGGAGTTATATCTAACAATCATTGCTTCTGCTAATTTTTAGGCCCCTTCTGGAGGGTGATTTATCTCCCACCTCATGAAGACTCTAAAGTTAATGCAGTAGTTGGTTCTCAGAGCCAAGAATTGATTTTGCAAGGGTAACAGCAATAGGAAATGAATTCAAGAGCTATATAACAAAACTAAATGCAGTTTGCTTACATCACTCGAAAAAAAAAAAATAGGATATTTGATTAAGATGATCCTCCAACACCAAATATTATCTGATTCACACTAATGAATATGGGTTATAGCAATTTTGCCATACTGCAGTCCCTTTTTCTTTTTAATTAACAGCTAACATATTTTTCATTAAGAAAAAAGATTTCCAGTGCTGGTCTGGAGACAGAACTAATGAAAGTCCACAGCCAAGACACATGACACAGGAAAATGTCTGTGGACCTCAGTGGCTCTCTGCTTCGAAACTGGCTCATAACAGCCAGGTGAGGGCATGTTCTGCAAGCATCCACAATCATAGAACAAGTACCAGAAAGTGTGTTTTGGAGGACAATAAACAAAAATCAAAACATATTTATCAAATAAAATTAACAGAAAGAGAAAATGAGCTTACATATTTTTCTTCTGAGCTGGCAGAAATGGCATGCTGCTTGGATGGAACCACCTTGAAGGAAGAAAAGAGAAAAAACATTTATCAGTGTTTCTCGCTGATGTGCAAAGGAAATAATGCAAGTGCAGGGGATAGTGTTTGTGATTTACTCACAGGCCATGCAGCTGTGATGCTGATAAGACATAAACACAGAACTGCCACCTTCATTGTGATATTTTACCTAGAAAATATTTTGGAACAGTAAGTCAATAAAGTAAAATACCACAAAAACGCTATGGGCTTTTCCTTTATCCTGGTATACTTCACTATGCCAAGACCAGGTCCCTGCTATGGATTCAACTTGCCCATGCTAATTTTATTTCTTCTATCCTCCATCACCACCTCCCACCCACCTTGTAATATTTTGACTTAGCAGCTCAAAAAGCTACAAGAATTTTGAAACTGAATGCTGAGAAGAGCTGAGCAGTGGTGAGAAAAACCACACTGAAAAGGTGGAATGACTCCTGTTGCCTACTGACTTGCACAGGCAAAGGAAAAGATCTGTGAAAAACTGTTACAAAAACCAGCTTTTTGTCTTCATTCACTTAACACAATTGTTTTGAAAAAGAGGCAGGTTAAGACAAACAATTTGTGTTGTCTTGTCAGCTATTTTGAAACTAGTATTTAGGGTTATTAATTTGAATTGCTGAGTAAAGTCAGTTTATATGAACATAAAGTGCTCTTACTGATAGACCTGCATTTCCCTCTCCAGAAGTTAGAACAAAATAACCTGTGTTTCCAAACAAGAGTTTAGGTGAAATGGCCACTCCCATAGCTGCTCACATTTCAGCTTTAGCAATTTAATAAATAATTTATTCCTGCTGAAATTAGGAGAGCTACAGTAAATTTCAGTGCTTACTGACAAGTTCCCAGAATAAGGAACATCCCTGCGAATTTAAACCGATTTACTGATGAACAAGAATAATTCAAAACTTTGGTAAGTCACAGCAGGAAAGAAAGCTGCTTGGGACATTTAAAATGTGTCAGTAAGGCTGGCCCTGAGACATGACACTCTAATAGGGGTATTGCAATTTCAAGTTTTACAGAGAAGTGTGTCCCATTCACTGTCCCATTCACTCAGGATTGTACAGCATGAACCATGAGCCTGCCAGGAGAAACAAGGACACTGCTAGGCAGTGATTACATGAGGAAGAAAGTTTTCTGTGTTCAAGCACAAGCTCTGAGTTTCTAGTGCATGATTCAGTGTCTGCGTTTTCAGTAACCTTCTCCCAACATCTATCAGTACACAAATTTAAAATTGTGATTATGTGTAATACCTGGCATTGCTAAAGCAACCTTGCTCCTATAAAAACACACCTTTTTCTACAGAGAAATATCAGACATCCCTGCCCAATGAAGCAGTTTTCAAAGACCTGATCAGTGTTTCCTAGGCTAAAGCTGCAGATGAATTGGCACATGTCAGGTAAAAAAGCAAAAAAATTTACCTTTTCTGGTGCTGAAGGAGCCAGCCACGACAAAAGCACTCTTAGTGATGGCAGCAGCAGCTCCAGCCAGTTGGCTCCCAGCAGCTCTGGCTTTCTCACCTTGTCCCTTGCTGCCTGACATCTCCGAGCTCTGGGAATTTAAGCTGTGTCCCAAGCACAGCCACCAATCCCCATGTGGCGGAAAAAGATGAGGTCATGAGGCTCCTGGCCACTGTCCTGCCCACATTCTCCTACACTTCCTCTTTGGCTTTGTGGCTTTTGAAATAAACAAAAACCATGCTAAGGTTAAAACATTACTTATGAGCAAGATCATTAACCAGCAAGTCTGTTGAATGCAGTGTTTGGTATCATGTAGGAGGGCTTCAGGGCATGTCTGTTCTACTTTTGTGAAAAGCCAGAGCCTTGCTTCCCAGAAATCTTTTGTACCCTGTTCTGTAGGGGGTAGGAATAGCTAATGTGTGCTGGAAGAAATAAATCTGAACATAAAATTCACTAAAGAGGTGTTAATGTGTCCACAGAACTGTAGACTTGCTCTCCAGGGCATGCATGGTATAACAGGAATTGCAAAGATGTTGCAGAATATGGCCCTTTGCATTTTTTGGTCTACCAGGGTAAAAGAAAAATAAATTATTAGTACTAGTTGTCTTGGCAGGCATTCTGCATCCAGCAACTTGTTTGTAAAGATGTACAAGAGCCAGTGGTCTAATTAAAGAAGACTGGTGCATCTTTATGAGGAATCATGAGGAATTCTTACTCCTTTTCTCTTAATTTGTATTCCTTCTGGTTCTTTTCTCTGGTGGTTTGGTCAATCTGGTCAAGCTGTCTCATGCGCCAAATCCATTTCAGAACTCTTTTCAGGGACTATGCCAGATATTTTTCAATTAAAAATAAAAATAAAAAAATAAAATAAAATAAAAGGGAAAAAAAGCACACAGCTATAGCTCCAGCATGAGGAGTACCATGAGTGGCGTTTTGGGAAACAAAGGATATAATGGAATGAAAGTTCATGTCTACTATGGAGCAGTGCATCAGTCCTGCTGATGGGTGACAGATCTGTTGTGGCCTCCCTTGGATGTCCATAGCTTTGGACTGATTCTGCATCAGCTGGGATGTGCTGGAGGACTCTCAGACACTTTTCTGTGTGGTGCTTCTTTAAAAGGACAATGAGGAGTCATTCAAACACAGGAAAACATTCCAAACAGCCCTCTTAGAAGGCAGAATGTTTATAACTGTTTCAAGGTCGTTATCCTGCTTCTCATTTGTGACACCCCACTGGTGTATCCTTAGCCAAGCAGACAAGAGAGAGCTGTCTGTAGCAGCTCCTGTTACCAGTTATCCTGTGCTTACTGACACTTCTGGGGCATGTTTAGAGACATCAGGAGTAACATTCCCACGCTTTGTCACACAGACTTAGCTGATTATATTTTTTAGCTGAGATCAGCAACAGCTGGAAGTTCAACTTAGTGTATTTAAGAGAGTGCTCTAATATCCCAGTGGGAGAAGTGGATAAAAACAGTAATAGTATATCATTACTAGTTCTGACTGTAAGGATCCACCTGAGCGAGGACCATGCTAGCTTCTATTTTTGAAGCTATATGACCATTGTCATATCCTAACTCAGGAAAGACTTTTCAACCAAAAAAGCCTCCAGCAACTAGGATTTCAGTATCAAGATCTTATGCAGATTTAGACAGATTTACCATCTCCCATTGTATCTATAGCTCAGTGCTGCTGAAAACCAGTTTGCTGAAGGCCTTGAGTGCAGATTCAGGACTCCAGCTGGAAGCGGGTGCTCTTCGGAAGTGTTGGTTTGAGCATCAGGTGGTAGCTGACACTTACTTAGTTACTAGGGTGGCTTCAAAAGGCCACTGCTGTTGACTCCAGGGAACCCCAAGCCAGGCCCTAAGGTAGCCAAACACCAGTCCTGACCATCAGCAAAAAACTACTTCCATCTGACAGAGCAAAAGCAGAGACAGAGTGAAGCCAGCGGCTCACACCACTGGATGTGGGACTGGGTGTGCTGCTCTCCTGTCCACACCCTGGATTAAATTTTAAGCCTGAAAAACCTACTTTCCCTACAAGCCATTCATCAAGAGACACAGAACTGAAAAACAACATTATGCTCAAAGATCCTCTAGAGCTGCTGTCTGGCCAAAACCAATACTTGCAATCTGCATAATGACATATTACTGTGTATCAGACCATCAGGAAAATGCACATTATGTAAACACCTGTTTCACCAAATTCAGCAGCAGTTATCAGTCGTGCTGATGGAGCCATGAGAAACACAGTCTTCCTGCAGTTTGTTACAGACATTCCTGTACAGGTCAATTATTACTGTGCCACCTCAAGGCAAATGTTTTGCAAGAACCTGGAACTCTTGTCTCCCAGCAGAGTCTCTGTGTGACCCTCAGGGAGCTATTTCTGGCAAACAACTGGTTTCCAGTGCACTGGGAAATGACAATGTTTTTGAGTATGTTGCCAAACATACTGTACAATCCACTATATGGTAGATTTAGTAAGAACTAAGGAACAACAGGGATGTTTTGCAGCAATCCAGAAGCAGGATGAGAAGAAATGGCTATTACTGTCTTCATTTAATTCAAGATTAGCTCCTACAGAGCTGTAGCAAATTTAGCACGTCTCATGCCTATCACTATGTGGTTATTCCTCCTGTAAATTATTTCATCTAGCTGAGAAATCCTTTTCCTTGGTAGGATTTATGTTTCTTTTTGTCTCAAAGACAAGGAACAAGCAGGGCAGAAAGTGGGGAACTTTCATCATCTTCACTTCCCACATTAAAATCCTTAGTTGTGGAGAGAACACTTGTCTGCTAGTGGCACAGCAGAAGCAGCCTGCTTGAATTTGTACAGGTGGGAGGGTATATGATTCTGCCTTTCAAGAGCTGTCAGGGTCTGTGCAGAGCATGATTCTGACTGTAATCTGTTGCATGTAGTTGACTATTTTCTACTTGTCTGTCCTGTCGAACAAAGCTTTTGACCACAATTCCTTCCATCCTGGGCTATGTTGGTAACGTGGTTAGGCTGTCATTTTGTGTTGTCAAGAAGCTGTATCAGTGCCTCCCTGTGCAACCTCCAACACCTACTTAAGATCCTGAGCTAGGACACCAGTGTGATGCCCAGAAATACCTCTGGCAGGCTTGGAAAATCCCAGCCTCCCTGCAGTGACCTGTAGTGATCAGGCAGCTTTCAGGGCAGCTGGCTTTTGTTGAATTTTGTTCACCAAAAAACAAATCTGGAGGAGAATATAAACAAAGACTAGATGGCAAAGACTAAGGCTCGAAGAGAGAGGCTATTTTCTTTGGCAGCATTAAGAATGCTATTAAATATTGTTTTGCAACTAGAATATCTCCATGAAAAGCAGACTTAGTAAAGAAAAGTTTCTGTAAAGACAGATGAAAAGCAAAACTTTCTTATATTGCTATCATAAAATTCCCTTTGGAAACTCGGTGTATCAACCAATATACCTCCCAAAGCCATTACATTTTCCTAATTAAACCTTCAAAAGTGAGGAAAAGCTTACATACAGCAGTGGGTAGAATTAAAACAAAGCCTTCTGCCTCTTAAATAGACAACACAGACAACAACAGTGTTTGTGTCTGGCCTCAGGAGAATATTTGGTATGCAGAAGAGATATGGGTGTCAGATCTGTTAAAGAAATTACAACAGAGGTTTGCTCCTTACGTGTGTGAACAGGGCACCATGATAACACATGCTTTGCAGTACAGCTGTATATCTTTTCCTTTGTACCACTTGGAGCAATTAAAGAAGTCACTTTCCCAGAATCAGCCCTACCAGTTCCTTGAGGAGTTGCAGAATGAGGCTCAACACTGACCTAGAGCTAGAGGAGGTGATAAATTGGGACAGACTTTCTGGGAAACAGCCCTACCATAGGCTGACAGCATCCTAGAAAGTGCCAGTGTCTGACACATCTGTCCTTATCTCCCTCTACTCAAAGAGAGCCCACTCATTTGTCTCTGGCTTCTGGGACTAGTCACTATCTGTTCCCATTTTCAAATGGCTTTTTAGGAACAGCTTTGGAAAGTGAAGAAAACAATTAATATTTGAGAAACTGCCATGCAGCTGTGTTTCACAAATCCTGGAGGTTGGCCAGCCTCAGTCAGATCCCAGCTTTCAGAGAGGCAAGTGGATGTTCCTGCAACAGCACAAATAAAGTCCAGCTGTCTAGAACTTGCTAGAATGGAGCCCCACTGATGTCCCCTCCCTCAACTTTTACAACCAATTAGAAAAATATTCCAGATTTTTTTCCCCCCATTGAAATTCATCTGTTTTAATACTAAAGATCATGTAGCAGCAGGAACTAAACCAGCCCAGAAACATTTCATTATTATCAGGTCATCAGAGTTATCAGTGTGAAGAGCTAAACACCAGCTTTTCAGTGCTGGGTTTGTGGCTGTGTTTCAGCTCTGAATTGACAAGAGAAGAAATGCATTTGTTTCAACTGGAAAGTAACAAACACAATAGTAGTCTGAAGTACTCGTAGTAACAAGAATGACCAGTGAAATAATTTATGGTGTACACTATGTTTTCTGGTGTAACTGTACAATTTCTTAATGTATGTAACCCTCAAAAAGCAATTTTTTGGGAACAGGAGGATGAGACTTTCTCATCTCAGTGGGAGCTGAGCTCAATCTGAAGCCTGAACACTGCTGCAGATATAACACTCCAGGATGAAGGAAAGCATATGAGCTGTGATATGTGTGTGCTTAAATCCCACACATGCTCATAAAACAGCAGTCATCAGATTGCCAGCTCAGGGCTCACAGTTTGAGTGCTGAGGGGAATTTGATAGTAGGAAACAGCTTTACAGAAGATTGCTTCTCAGACAAGTATTGGAAAAACTTAGTGACAAGTTGTTTCCCTCTCTCCCCCCAGCTCAGTTGCCTGTTTCTGATCCTATTGAGAAATTTTGGAAAAAATTTGTGACAAGTTTTTTCCCTTTCTCCCCTCTGCTCAGATCTGATCCTACTGCAGAATTTTCTCCTCCTACTGAGACAGGACCCTAATGGGAAAATATAAATATGCAGAATGGATATGGAAAGAACAGCATCCTCTCACTC